GAAGTTTTGGGTTGTCACATCCTGGTTATAGGATGGTTGTTATGTTAGAGATCGATATCGTGGTTATAGGATGGTTTCTATGTTATTGATCGGTTAGATCGGTATCCTGGCCATAGGATGGTTGCCATGTTAGTGATCTGTTAGATCTGTATGACTATCTATTATTGCATTGCTAGCGTATGATATTATGTGCACATGTTTGTTGGGATTGGGATTGGGTTGAGGCTGGTACTGCTTTGTCCTGTAGGCCAAGACACCCAGGGCGGACCAGATAGACTGCAGGCCCGGTTAGGGCATACTAGTCAGGCCGAAGACCCAGTGAGCGGTCCGGATAGGTTGAAGGCCTCGAGAAGGCGGTCCAGACGTGCCGATGGCTCGGAGAGCGGTCCAGATAGACTGATGGCCTGCGAGTCGGTCCAGTCAGACTGATGGCTCATTATGCATGTTGTGTTTGTTATATGATATGGTTATATATGTATAGCGTTGGTATTTTGGGGGAAATCACTAAGCTTCGAGCTTACAGTTGTTGATTTTGTTTCAGGTACTTCTGACGATCGCGGGAAGGCGAAGGCGTGATCGTACACCTCCTATGATTTTTATGATTTGGTTCTGGGAAATTCTGACATTGGATATTTTGAAAACAAGTTTTGTAATAATCAACTGGTTTTGGAAATGTTTTAAAAGTTTAAATATGGCATGATTTTTTATGGTTGTTATAATTACTAAGTGTATACTAATTATATATGACTAATATCGAACGGGCAGTCGATATGGTAATTCTGCCCTAAGCCCACAACCAAACAAGGAACAGGAAGTAAGGCGGAAATCACACATTCCACTGCCTATCGGATATTAGTTATATATAACTCTGATGTATACGCTAAAGAATCATATAATTAACAATTAGGGGTCATTTATGTTATACTAGTTTGTAAATAAGTGTTAAGTCTTTCATAAAGATGTTCTTAGTTTCACCCTTTCTATTGTAAAGCATTGTTTTCGGTAAGTAATTGTATCTGTTTTCAGAAAGTCAAATTGTAAAATGTTTACTTGTAAAATAATGATGTTTATCCTGGAAAATCCTGTATTTTTTCATGAAACCGGTTTGTAGTCTTAAACATTCCAAGACCGAAATGTACAAGTATAATTACCATACTTAATTTAATGATACCTAGTTTTATTCATAAGTAAAACTAGTTGAAGTTGGGTTTTGCCCTGAAATCTGAATGTAAAGTTAATATTCAAATAAAATTATTTGAAATATATTATTCGCAAATATGCCGTTGTTTTCTCCTTGTGAGTTCTTCTAACCATACTAACCCAGTCGGCCTGATCGTGACGTTTTTCAGACGTCGGAATGTTAACGACATTTGTCACCCCAGGCCTGCCGGCCTGACTGTAGCTAACAGTCGGGATGTGGGATTGTCAGTCCCAAATAGATCTATACCCAAATATCTCGCTCTCTCCCTACAAGGGACTCTGGTTATAAGTCAGGACTTTCACCAGTACTTAGATAAGTACACAAAGACATCTCACAAATTGCTTTAACGTTTTTACGAGTAATAACTTAAAACCCTTTTTGTTTATCTGTTATCTGAAAACCCTTTATATGTTAACATGTACTTTGTAAAATAGTATCATTGTTCCATAAACTATACTTATTATAGTTTATAAGTTTGTTTCCGAGTTGTAACCTGAACTTTGTAAAATAGTATCTTTGTTCCATAAACTATACCTATTATAGTTTATAAGTTTGTTTCCGTGTTGTTGTGAAAATCGTTGCGTTTTAACATGTTTTGTAAATCATTTGTAAATTCAATAGTAACGATATTTTGTGTATTTAGTAAATTTCACGTTTAACTGTATATTACGGTAAGAAATATAATAAGAAATTTATATTTTTAAACACAAGATTTCTTGTGTTTTACTTGTATTCCCCCCTAAAACAATTTAAAAATTGTGAAAACGTAGGGGTATGAACTCACCTCGAGTGTGATAACGGTTTTGATAACGGAATAGAATCGGTGACTTCGATTTAAAGTACGTAACGATAGTCGTATCCTAATAGTTTAAACACATATTAACGGATATAAATTAGGTAATCTAATAATTTAAAGTGTTAAATAACACTATTTTTATGAATAAAACTTAGGAGTGGTATGAAGATGTTTGTGAAGAACTTGAAGTGAAAGCAAAAGAAGGTTGATAATTTGAGAGAAAACGTGAAGGATTTTGTTTACTGTAAATGTTGTATGATAAGATATTTTCGAAATGTATCTTTTATATGGAGTAAAATATGAGGCGGTTCAAAGAATAATATCTAGATATTATGGGTTTTCGGCCTAGAACTCATCCCGAGGAAATGAGTCTTCGGTCATAAAGTAGCTGATTTCGGCCGAGAAAAGGGATTGCGGTCCGAAGTGTTTGCGGCCGAGAACCCGATTTTGGTCTTGACCGCAATCTCGTTTGCGGTCCGAGGAGGTGGGGGTCTCGCGAAGGTTTGCTGCTTTGACCGAAATCTCGTTTTCGGTCCGAGGCTAGTGGACCTGCGAGATTTCTCGGATTCAAAGAAGGGTATTTTCGGTATGGGCTATTTGATTTCCTTAATAAATATACATAATTATAATTATGATTAAATCAAATGGTTTCTAATATTTTGACATTGATTGACCTTCATTGACTTTTGTTGACTTTTTGTTGACTTTCATAGGCTGGAAATAACGGGTTATTACAGTTGTTTCAGGTACTTCAGGGTCTAAGGGTAAGAGCCCAGCGTGATGGCGCGGCATGCACTCTCCGGCATTTTATTTGGGGATACTCTTATATTATGAATAAAATGTTTGATGTTATGGATTTTGAAAACAAATGTGATTGGAATTTTATATTTTATGGAAATGATTTCGTTACTTGAAAATGAAAAAAAAATTATTGGAAATTTGGGATGTTACATCTTATGAACCATCTCATAGAATTCCACCATTACTAATTTTGCTTAAACAGGAATGAAATACCTTCTTATCTTTGATACTACATATTTACCACGTTACTCATTAAGGTAGTATACTTAAATTAAAGAAACATACCTATTATCCTAAAAGGTCTTCTCTTGAAACAACACATATGTGTCCAACGGTCCTAATAGTATATGAACCACAAGTCCATAAAAAACAGGGTTGTTATATTTCACTTACCCTTAAAAGAATAATACGTCAGCTGAATCACTTATGTAAGAATATGAGAACATCTAACTTCAAATTTTAACTTTTAGTATGTGAATCATAATCAATCCCTTAATGATATCTTTAATGAACTTTAACTAAACACACTTCTTTATGTTGGGGTTTCTCATCTTTATGATCAAGTGTACCCAAAGTTTTATATACATTTTACTCACCCATTCAATAATGTAATTGATGATAATACATTTGATGCATCAGTTAGTCAAGTACGATACATATATCATATTGTGTGCGTAGTTACGTACATTATATTTATATACATTATGGTTCCAAATTTCTTCCTAAACTAAGGATCATACTTTCACCAAACCAAAAAGTCCTTTCTATGACGAGACTTCAGTAACACATGAATTTTCAATGAGGAATCTCATCATTTGATTCTCAAAATTCATAGGTGATAGAGAAAAATGAAACCTTACTATACTAATGATGACTTCAACTAAGATGTGGAATCCATTTCAGAATTGTTCTTGAAGCCTTTAAGATCTCCAAATAATTTCACAAGTGATCTCCCATGTTTTCTTACCTTAGTGAACAAAATATGAAACAATAAGACTAAATATTTTAGAGTCACAAACTTTTTAAACCAATCAATCAATGTATTTTGATTTATACTTTATTCCTTCAAAACACCATTCATATCCACAAGGACTCAAGTCTAACAACAAGTGTATCATGTGAACTACTTCATAACACTTGTGCAACTTAACATATTATGAACATAAATGATGACACACTCTCCTCACTTACACCAAATAAGGCATATTCTTTCTATTTAAGCATCATACTTTCAACTAAGAAAACCCAACATCTATTAAGTCATACTTACAAGCATTCAAGCACATCAACTTGTAACTCTTACGAACCATCTCATAGAATGCCACCATTATTAATTATGCTTGATTAGCAATGAAATGCCTTCTTATCTTTGATACTACCCATTTACTATGTTACTCATCAAGGTAATATACTTCCATTAAAGCAACATACCTATTATCACAAAAGGTCTTCTCTTGAAACAACACATATCCCTAATAGTATATGAACCACAAGTTCATAAATAACATGATTGTTACATTTCACCTACCCTTAAAAAAAGATTTTGTCATCAAAATCACTTATGCAAGAATATGAGAACATCTAACTAAATTTTCTCTTCCCGTACGTGAATCACAATCAATCCCTTAATGATATCTTCACTAAACTTTATCCAAACACACTTCTTTATTTAGGGGTTTCTTATCTTTATGGTCAAAGTGTTCCTAAATTCTTATATACACTTTATTCACGTGTGCAAGCATGTAATTGATGATACCATGCTTTTCACCAAACCACAAAGTCCATTCTCTGAGGAAACTTCAAACATTCTCAAAACTCACAATCAAGTTGCATACGACCATATTTTATTCGTAATATATCGACCATTTGTCATACCCTATACATTTGCATACCATTTATCATACCCTATACATACTTAGAATCCACATGGACTCCATATCTATATAGTGAACCTTGATTGTAATACTTCACTACATTAAGACTAGTACATGAGTATCAATGACTCACTTTCTCAGAATCTCAACATGACTCCCCTTGTATGACCAGACCACTTTGATCTTCCATAACTTGACCCATTATTGTGAAGGCCATTTCAAATTAAACAGCAAACGTAATAGGCTACTTATGTTGTTATCATAATATTGCACAAAAACAAACTACACCTAATATTTGGGGCAAAAGTTGATTTTGCACGGCAGAAACTTTCCATTAATCACGACATTCATATAAATAAAAACTTGTCAAAATTACAACTCACAAGTAGCAGCTGCGAACCCATTTGAAAAAAATGGGTACTTGATTTCTTTATATTCTATAATAAATAAATGCATGTAGTTTATCCTATGGATACAAAAATGTAGATAAGAACCTCTCATTGAGCCTTTGGAAAACTTTTACCCTATAAATCAACACCAAAACCACCTTAGAATCTACACACATTATCAAATATCAACCACTTGCTGAGTCATCCTCACTGTCATCGCTATCATCACTGCAAGAGACAAATGGTTATAATAAAAACTTGAATACATTGAATGGCTATTATCTTTGTAGACTCTTTAAATGTGAATTCTAAATAAACAGTACCTGTATTCAGAAAGCTTTGATATCCGTCTTGCATCTAAGCCAGTAATATATTTTTGAGCTGCTTGAACATTTTCAGTCCCTGAAAAAAATTTACATAAGAAAAAGAAACAAAATATGATATTATATATAGATATAGATATTAGATATACCTTTTGTTAACTGAAGGGCATGCAAGGCACATCTTTCAGCTGCGAGTCTCACGGGTGTGCTTCCATCTTTTAAACATTCAGCAAGCACAGGACCATATACAGTAACATGGATTGTTATTATGCTAGGGTTTGCCTGCATTAATCAAGTTAACCTTAATGTTAATAAAACATGTTTTTTTAATATGTTTAAAAAAAAAAATAAGGGAAAAAGGTACTTTTGCAACTGCTTTAAGTGCAAACAATGCCCTCCTTCTGACTTCACTGGAATCATCCTGCATGGCAGAAGCAATGGAGACAAGAGTGGCCTTGTGTGCATTTGAATTGGATGGATCCTTTTGAATTTGATGAAGTAAAAGCCTTCCTAATGCTTTAGTTGACGTTTCACGAACAGGAAACTACACAAGCAAAAAAATATATATCAGGAAGTTTTTTTTAATGTTTCACTAAATTGACTGAAAGTTGACCAAACCTTTTCATCGGTCAAGCTATTTTTGAGGCAGTCTGTAACTACTGTGAATGATGGAGATGCTGATATTACAGTAGGAATGTGTCTTAGCATGGATGAGATTGTAAGAAGTGACCCATGCCTAGTGGTCCAGGTAGGCGATGAAGCATTTTCCGGGAGTTCCTCTAGTAATTCAGAAATTTGATCGTCTTCCAAATACTGTAATTATTAATTGAATAAAAGTTAGCGGATAATAAATATTATCAACTGTAGTAAGTTTTTTTTTTAAAAAAAGTGACATGAACCTCACCTCTGATATGATGCCTAGAATTCTTGCTGAAGAGCTTCGTATTTGGTCATCATCGTTGTATATCAACTCCTGTAAGAGATCGAAAACACGAGTCTTAACAGGACCACTAACACTCTTTCCAGCATGCTTGACAACGCCTTTTAGGGCGACCAGTATTGCCTCGCGGACCCCACCTTCTGATGCCTGTAGGTTGGATAGAAGATCCCCAACTAGGGGATCAACTCTTGTGCTTAGTGCACTAAGCTTACCAAGTGCGAGAGCAGCACTTGAACGAACAGTCCTGTAATTTGACGAGAATGCCCTCATGTAAAAAGGAATACAAATAAACAAAAGATGGTAGTAGAAAAGGAAATCTTACCTTGTGTTGTCCTGCAAGCATTTGACAAAGGTGGTTTGTAGCTGAGGGAGAAAAGGTTTAAGAGCCATCCCTCCTTTTGCTATTATGATGGTCAAAGTTGACAAAATAGCACTTTTCACTTGCCATGGGAATCGATCGCCTATAATTCGGATCAGAGGCCTGGAATCATCATAAAATAGACAACACAAGTCAAGCAAAAAAAAAAAAAATAGAATTAAATAAGAGACTAATAAAGTCCTAGGAATGGTAGTTACCCTGTAATAGGGATAACAAACTCCTTGAGTGCTTTTTCACTTGTTACTTCAATTAATTCTCCAAGACCTTGAGCAGCCTGTTCTCTCAATTCTGCAGACCCACTTATTAGGCCCTGAAGGTATATGGGAAGCAATGGTTGAAGAGCCTTTGGGAGACATAACCCAGGTATAACAATTGGCCCACCCTATAATCATCAACAAATATTTCTTTGTGTAAGTTACATGTGTGTTAACTAACAAAGCAAAATCATGAAATAATTATTATTGAATATATATTTAACCTTCTTCTTTCTACGTTCCTTGTCTCTAGATGTGGATACAGCATCACGAACTAATTTTATATATGATGGGAGAACTTCTTTCGGGACTGAACCAACAACTCTAGAAAGTGCTTCCCAGGCAGCCTGTTATGTATTATATATGATATAAATGATGAAGTTTTATATAAAAAAAAAATGGTAATAAACAGTAAGATAAATGAAACATTACCGATACAGTGGCAGAGTCTGTGTCACTTAGTAAAATGATCAAGGTGGATATCATATTTGGAGCTTCATCCACCAGATACAATTTACTGTTTTTGAAAAAGTATCCAAGTAGATATGCAGAACTGCGCCTAGTTGAAGCCTGCAAGTTATAACAGCATATGTCAAGAGTCTGATATACAGAGTGGAAGAGAAAATTTATGATATATTCTACAGAGCCTTACCTGGTTATCTCCAACCCCCTTGAGAAGTTCTGATATCAAATACTCAGTCCCTTCATCATCAATTACCAACACCACAGTTTCTGCAGCCTTCTTTGCAAGATTTTGGACCTCCTATATTACAAATAAGAAGCCAACTTAGCATGAAAATGGAAGCAATTTTATCAAGATCACTAACAACTTCATACCGCATGATCATCATCTCCCATTGCAGAGAGCAAAGCAGGAAGAACTGTTGAAAGATGGACATTTAAACCAGCACCTGCAACCTCCGCAACAGCTCCTATAGCATGTGCATTGAAAGCACTGGAATGGAAACCATGTTTCCATCAACAGTTAGCATCATATATATATAACCAAAGTGTCTAAGTAAGAGAGATGGAAACTTGGATGCCAGGTACATACGAGAGAGGGAGATGAACAAGCTTTGGCAATATATGAGGCAACACAGCTGCTGTTCGGACACTGTCATAATTCCAGGCAGCTTTTTAGTATTTGATACATGTAACTTGTAAAATTATCTTAAAACTACAAATATAAATTGTGGTGCTTGATACCTCAAAATTTGTTTAAGGCCATCAAGGGCAGTATCTGCCATGTCATCATCTTCCAAAGCACGGAGGAGTGTTGGGACAATTTCATCAATTGCTTGCATTCCCGCACTCTACAGATACATAATTAACATCACAAATGATAAAAGGTAGTTTAAAAATATGCTAAAATTAAAAGTACCTTGTACAGAGTGCTAAACGCAAGCCCTGCAGATTCACGAACCTCAACCTCACTGTAAGAGAGATAGAGATAGAGATAGATTTCACATATCAAGTACTAACCGAAACTAACAAACAGAAGGAGAAAAAGGTAAAAACATAAATGTTACCTATCACAAAGAGCTGTACGAATGGTGGGAATAAGATCGTCCATGAAACTTAACAACTGGCTCCTACCAGCACTAGCCATCACTTCACTCAGTCCAATGCAGACACCCTGTAAATCAAGAAACATTCAGCTTTTTGACAATTATTATATTCAAGAATTAAATGATGAACAGGAAAAAACCAAAAAGAAAATAATATACTTGTCGTCTGCTAGAATCAGGGTCCTTCAAGCCTTTAGATAATATAGGAATAACCAAGGGAAGCACTCTCTCCCCGAGCTTTCGCACAAGCTCACCCAATGCTCTTCCAGCAACCTTAACAATATTAAGCAAGAATTTAGTTTCCAAAATATGCAACAAACTTAAAAACATATATAAACAAAAATGACAAACCTGTCGCCTTTCTGAGGATGATGAAGCAAGGGAACTGATAAGGGTATTCATCAAGACTGGCATTATCTCCTTGAGAGTCTTAGGAGTATTTACAACTATAGTCTTCCACACATGTAAGGCAGCCTATAGGAGAGGGAGAATAAATTTCACATATCTGGCAAACTGAAATGAAAACAAAATATTGAGATGGATAATATGAATATCCTACCTGGCGAACTGAGAGGCTGACATCTGTTCGAACCATATATAGTGCAGCGAGCACTTCATTACGCTTCTCTCTGCCAAGAACCTCAATGATTGCACGCCCTTGTGCTTCAGTACTGGCACCTTCATCATCACTGCCACCTTCAAGAAGTGCTTTTCCAGAAGTCCCAGCAACCTTAAATAAAAGATCACCCAAAAGTTCCACAGAACTTTGACGGATTCGCCAGTTATCGTTAAATATCCCGTCTTCTACAGCTGGCAGAAGCAAAGGCAGTGACCTGGCATATTTACAAAAAAGACCATCAATATAATGAGACTTTGATAACTGTTTGACAATTGGCATTATTTTTGTAATTCGTTTATCAGTCATGCAAGTAAATGAAACAACTTACGTTGTAGCATAATGCTCCACCAGTATGTGTCCAGCTCCAAGTGCAGCCTCACGTACAGATTCGTTTTCATCCGCAAGACCTGATGACAAATGTGTGTTTTATTATATTAATTATATGCTCCAATATAGAAAAGTGCATAAATCTAATCTAATGTATTATAAAAAGAATACAAAGATAAAACTTACCATCTAAGATGGCTGGTAGCACTTGCTGTAAGTAGTTTTGGAACTGCACACCCAATGATCTTGGCAGATACTACAAGAGAAATAATCTTATGAGTATAAATGTACAACTGATATATGAAATACAAAGACAATGAGAATGAAACCAGTTGAAGAAGCAGCTAACCTTGAAAAGGGTCAAATAACCATCACGTACAGGTGCCCTTTGATGTGAGCAGTTGCGTATGATGTCAGGAAGAAGGTGTTCAAAATACTCAGTTCCAAGAGCAGCCACTACCTAAAGAGATGAATAGACATTCTTTAATCCCCATAACTTGATTGAAAATTGGACAAAAGAATCAGAATTTATGAATTATAAAATAAGCTAAATTCTGACCTCACTCAACCCTTGAGCAGCACCAGATCTTTCAACATTACTACCGTCAGATTTGAGTGTGTCTAGCAACCATGGAACAAGATCCGGGAAGTTCTCTTCTCCCATTCCTCTTATCAGAGACCCAACAGCTCTGGCTGCTACAGATCGAACTTCAGGAATTGGATCCACTAATACCTGGTTTTAAGTGATGTATTAGATAACATTAGTATGATTATTACTAAACATACATAAAGGATACTCATGCTATACCTTCTTAATTTCAGGAAGAAGCAATCCTATATAAGGAAGCATATCCTTTGGGTCAGTGACTAGTGAACACATATTGCCAGCAATTTGTGCAGCCTTCTTTTTCGTTTCCGCACTTCTCTCCCTCAAACCACGGTGAACAATGGGCACCAAAAGGGCAAGTGAAGGAGCATCAATTGAGTTTATAAAAGTTGTCTGTGAAAGATCAAGAAACAACCGACAAAATAAGAACTTAAAACATAAAAATAAAAATAAAAACTATGTTTTGTTACCTGAAGAAGAATATCCAGGGAATATTTTGTATGGTCATTAGGGTCTGTAAGACCCAGCAAAAGAGTTGGCACAAGGGAGGCGATTTCAGGATTCTTTATCACACTACCAACCTATAATTCACAAATAGATTTACAATATTACATATTTGCATACACCCATAAGCATAGAAAACACGAATGGTAGACAAATTATAAGAATATAATCAAACCTGCTGGAGTGCTGTCTGCCCTGCAGACTGAACTTTTGGATGCGTATCAGTTAGCACCTAAAATCAATAAAAAAATTCAGAAATTAGATTATATTAACTAATAAAGAATAAAGATGTAAGTCGATATTGTCTTTATGTCCAAAGTACCTCAGTCAACTTTGGGACAATCCTAGGTAGACATTGAGAAAGTTGCTGTGGAGCACAGTATGCCATAGACCCAAGAAGTTGAACACTACTCTGTTTTGTCCTCCAAGCTTTATCTTCAAGACCCTGAAAATATCATGAAGTTATAAATCATATAAGAATCTCAACTATCCTGTGCTATTGATAACAATAGGAAGGGAAAAGAGAGGGACCTTGAGAAGTGAAGGAAGGAGAAGCTTCATCCCCTGAGCAGTAAGTTGAGACATCATAGCACGAGCAGCACATTCAGCAGCTTCCCGAACAGCAACAACTTGATCAGAGAACGAAACTAAAAGCAACGGTAACAAGTAGATCACATACCTGTAACAGAGAGACAGTGTTAACACACATAGAAATACATAAATAAATAAATAAACAAAAACTGATTAATGGGAACAACTTACGGTTCGAACAATTTCCCAAGCTTTTCACAAAGGCACTCAAATGCCAGCAAAGATCCTTCGCGACATTTGGCAGAATTCCTATTTGCAAGTCCTTCGCGAAGAACAGTAGCAACTCCATATTTTTTCAAACTAGATATTCCAAATCCTTTGATGACTCCAGCAAGTCCAAAAGCTGCTCCACGACGTTCTCCATATTTCTCACTCTTCATAAGCTGATCTAACAGCCTAGTAACAAGTGACATTGCATCTTCCTAATGCCAAAAATAAAAACAGCAAAAGATTCAATTCAAAATGTTTCAGATGTACACTATTGTACTTCTATTAGAAACACTAATACATACTTGCTTCGATTTCATCAATGGAGACAGGCAGCTTGAGACTGCCCTCTGTACAGCTTCTGATGGGGTGTTAATCACCTCCAGCAACTTCTCTACAACAGCATGGACCTTAGGATCATCCTGTTCAAGAAGAAAACGTTAAAAGAAAATCAAAAAGTAAAAAGAGAGACCTTTAAAATTTAAATTTACTTCTAAGTGATTGCCAAAATCAAACCTTAGACAAATGTTTTGCTAATGCTCCAGTAAAGATCACCACGCCCTCACGTACCAAATCATATTTCTCTTCATCCGAGGCCTAAGAAAGATTATATATTAACTTTAGGAGGTTCATACTTAATCTTAAGTGAAAATTTTGATTTACAGCATATACTGACCTTTTTGTTTAAGTAATTTTCAAATATAGGAAATAAAAGTGAGACGTTATCTTTTCCATGTTTGTCAATGATCATGATACCAGCATTAATCATCCTTCCTCGAACATCAGCATTGGTATCAGCCTGTAGTTGAAATCATCAAAAGTTCAAAAGCTGCATTTGTATAATATCTAATCTAAATATCAAAAACTTTGAGCAAAAAATTAAACTTTACCAAGGCTCGAGATATCAAGAAAGTCATAACAACCGGAAGGTCTTTGGTTCTAAGTACATCAGCTGCAGCATGTAAAGCCAATGCAATCCCTTGTCTCCCTAACCAACCAGAATCAATCATATCCTCACCAACACCACTATCACGGATATAAAGAGAGAACAAAGTCGCAAGAGATTCCTGCACAAACATCAATCTGTATGAGAACATATATATATATAACATATTTAAATGAATCAGATAAGAGTTGGTAGAAAATAGTAATCACCTGTAAAGTATCTGGGTACTCATCTAATACAGCAGCTAATGCATCAGAAGCAGCCACACGAACATTATAATTCACATGAGAAAGAGCTCTAAAGAGTCCAGAATAATCGGTCCCAAATTCATGGTCATAACGATCCCATAAATCCTCAGCCACTTCAGCCACCGACTGCATTACATATAATGTGGTAAAGACTTGATATAAACTAATGATTTCCATCTAATACATGATTAAAAAAAATTGAATCTTCTACCTTTTCGGGATCATGTAAGGCGATCCAAATGCTGGTTGCAATTTCTACATCTTGAGGAACAGAACGGCTGGATATAGCTGGAATGCATTTTGCAGCATTTAAACAAGCTAGTCTAACATGAAGGTCTTTCGCATAAACACCAGATAAAGCCTGAGGGTAGAAATGTCAAGAAAAGTTAGGCTTGTAAGGGAATCAAGAAAATATGATTACATTGCTAATAATTAAAATGCTACATACAGGTGCTACTTCTTCAGATTGCAAACCAAGACACAACTCATTTAATGCTGGTCCAACAGACCCTTGATAGGAGGGTATTGCCCCAAGCACGTGATATAGAACCTGCCAAGTAGCACAGAGTATCCATATGTTAAGCAAAATAGAAATGAAAAAGAAAAAAGAAATAATTTGTAGATAATTAGAAACTTAACTGAAAGCATTTTAAGTCTGGGGAGGGGTAATATTGGGTCCATATGTAGGAAAAGTATCCGAAGTACATCACCATGAAGCTTAGTCTTCTTAGGAGATGACAGTATTCTCTCCATTATCTATTGAACACAAGTACAAGAAACATTAGTCTTTCTCAAAATCTTATATTGATTAAGGTCATGTGATATGAATAATTAGTAATTCTTACCGGAAAAACGAAACTAAAAGAATCGACTGGAAGGGGGCCATATTTGCATGATACAGATAATCCATGCATTACTCTCTCAAACAGACTCAATGACTTGTCACTGTGACCACCCTCACCAAGTGATGAAAGTTGATCCCATGAAACATGAGGTTCAGTTGTGGCAATTAGCCTTAAGACAGTAGCAATGTCTAACCCCCAATTAGAAAGTGGAGGAGCAAGACATTTTGCTAGCTTCACCATTGTTTCATAAGCCACCTCATTAACTATGGGGGATTGCAGTAATGGATTCACAAACTTGACCTGAAATATAATCAGAAGTGAATTAGAATCAAGAAAGATAACCAATCTGTTATATGAAATATATAAAGACTAACCAGTGAGAGTAATTCACTGTGTGTGAAAACAGGATTAGCTATAGCCATTGCTCCTAAAGCTTTCAGTAACAAGGAAAGATTCTTCTGTATATTCATGACCTTCTCACGGACATTAGCTTCCTCATTAAGCTGCACCTCACGTGCCTCCTCTTTTGACGTCTTCTGTTTATCTAGATTAACCAAAAAAAGAAAAAGCAAAATATAAATACATTTGCTTATGTTTAAGAAAGAGATAATAAAAAATAACTTGCCAGGCTTTTTTGTTGGTTTCCCTGCATCCTTCTTCCCCACACCAGATCGCTCTTTACCACTAGTGTCTCGCCTTCCAGAAGAATTGGAGTTGCCATTTTCCTGAACATGCTTTATGTCATTACCATTGCTTAAGAAATCATATTAGAAGAGAATTAATGAAAATATGATGCCATTGTCATCACCATGTTGTCATTGTTCTCATAAGTCTTGAAGCGGCCTTTTGCTTGTTTTAAGTTATTAGAAGCTACAGACTCTGCAATATAAACGCCTTGCTCAGTGGATAGCATCCCTTCAGGGGTACGGAAAATCTGCATGAAATCATGAAATCGTGAAAATCAAAGAATAAGGAAGGTTTTATTTTCAATCATGATTGGTGTTTATATTATGCTCACCTGAATATCATTTTCTGATAGCAAATCATGTGCACCCCGATCAGGGAAACTTTTCAAGTGCTGAAAATGATCAAATGTCCAGTGATGTAAAACAGTAAAATTGCTTTGAATACCAAAAGTGATATCATTCTGAAGTTAATTGAGAAAGTTCACAAATAAAAATAAAAATTACCTTTTCAAATTCTGCATACACTTCTGCAGGGGCTATGGTCATCAAAGTTGACAAAGCAAGTACAGCAGCTTCTTGTTCCAAATGACTAGTACTCATCAACCCCATTGGTCCAAGCAAACCCTATATATTATATTTTATACCACAATCAAGAGTGAATAATAATTAATAATATATAAAAAGGTTTTATCAGTCACACTAGCCATAAAACCTTAATCTTAAGAAAAAAAATACTCTACCCATAAAAAGTTTCCACAGCCATAGAAACTACAATTACCTGACACAAGCGACTGACATCAGCCATTATCTGTCCGATGACATCAAAACCATAAGCTCGCAAACACTTCTGCAATCTCTGAGAAAAAGAAAATAAAAAAAAAAGGTGACATAAGTCATCAGTATGTTTAGACATCTGACTAATAGTAAAACACTTATATATGTCCAACCAAACATTCCATTTACTCTGTGCACCAAATAGAACCACTGTTATAAGAGTTAGCTCACCTTCCAAACTGCATCTTTTTTTGCTGTGCCAACTAGGCATGGGTGATGTGAGCAGAATATAAGGCGTATGCAGGAACTAGGTGCAGCAGTCATAACACCAGATGATATTATCATCAAAGCCTTCACCAAAACCTCCACAGATGGCACAAAAGCAACTTGAGCATCCAATGAATTTTCTGTTTCACTATAAATTACATAGTCAAAAATCAATGCGTATTATTTAAACACAAACCATTGATGAAGTTAAAAACATAAGAATTAGTACCTTAACTTTGCTAATACTTTTTCCCCAACAACCGTGAGGTGCTCTGAATATTCAACTAGAAGTGTCTCAAATAGTTTTGGAGCAGCAGATAGAATCTTTTTGGTACAACCATAAGCTGCTCTGCGTACATCCCAACTTGAGTGACACAGAAACGTAAGTAAAAGCTGCAGTATAAAAAATCAGGTTATATTTTATACTGATAAACTTAATTTATGATACAGCTTCATAGTACTTCACCTGCATGAGTGATCTCACATTAAGAGTCTCAAAAACTCTGCAAAATAGGTAATGATGATTCTCAGCATTAATAAAAAAATAATCAACATTACTAAATGTTGCAGAAATAAATAAATAAATAAATAACCTGTGAGCATGATCCATAAAGAGTGTCTCAAGCAACTCAATAGATGTTTCACAGTCCTCCACTGATAGTTTTGAAACCTAAACATCAATCACATTAGATAAAAAGTAAAAACTACAACAAATGGGCATCTATTAACTAAAAATATAAGTTACCATAGCTACAGGGACAACTGAAGGTTCATTCTGTGAAATCAAAGACAAGACCTTTTCCTTCGACACAGTTTCATCTTCAGAAAAGAAATTCAAAAATTAGTATTTTGAACAACCACTTTTAGCTGTCAGTGGATATAAGCAAAAAAACATAGAAAATAGGTTAAGGGTGCAACTAATAATAGAAATCAACACCTGCTTTTATATCAGCAGCTGCGATTTTCATCACAATGAGTAACGCATAAATGCCATCCAATCGTTGTGCTGCTTTGGTAAAACCAGTTTTTACCAGCTGTATAAGAGGCACGAGCAAAGAAGATATCTGCTAGCAAGCATCACAAAAACATCAGCCACATGAAAACATTTGTGACAAATAAGTTCAGATATCAACACTAGTTAGTAAACTTAGTTTCCTTACAGTCAAAACTGCATCAGCATTTTTACATATGACTCGTAGGCATCGAAGATAACCTCTTCTTAGTGATTCCTTCTCCTTGAGACCTGATGCAATAAATGAAACAACTTCTGGCCTAATAGCATCTGTAGATCTTGCAACCCAAGAAGCTAAGGCAGTCAAACATGCAAGCTTTACCTCCTCATTTCCTGGAAGTCAAAAAGTCAATCAGATAACTAAGTGTACAAGATCACGCACAAACACAAAGAAAGTATGCAGTATGCAGTATGCACCCACCATCATCCTTGTAAGTGGTCAAAAGAAGTCCACATACAGATTGAGACAAATTACTAAGATATTTCCCTTCAGGACATGTAGACAATTCCTGAATGGCATTTATCATGCCAACTCTCTGGTATGGAAAAGCGAGTCTTCCTTCAGACCCTCCAATTATAGATTTCACAGAACCAAACATTGACTCAGCAGCATCTGGATTACTTGACTTTTGACTTAAACATCTGACAATATCCAATGCAGCAACTCTTCTTCCTTCATCAGCATGGCGAGCTTGTGATAATACCACTGATAGAATCTCGACAGCATACTTACTCAAATCCAGGTTAACATGTCTCAAAAGAACCCCAATGGATTCCAAAACAAGCTCAGGGTTCCTTTTTAGCATCTTCACAGATGAAGGAACAATGACATTCTTAAAATCTTCGTGTGAGAAACGGAAATATAATGAACGGAATGCTTCACTTAGGGATTTTGAAGGCTTATCCTTTGCATTCAGAACTGATTGCACATACATATCAAGATACACTGGCTTCCATTGATCAAACAGTGATGGTTTTGAAGTTGAAAAATCCAACATTACACATAGCATCTCTGGACAATTTTTATATGAGATTCTTCCACCTTTTAGTTCCTCCATGTACAGACTGAAAATATCAGGCGACTGAAAAGCATGGAAGAAAAACAAATAAAGAATTAATAAAAGAGGTATTATAATCAAGTAAGATGCATAGATAAGGTTCACTGTTCATGTCAGTTGTTGGAAACAAACCTCTAAAAAGGAATGAATAAAAGCTTTTCTGCAAGCCCTGCGTTCATGAGAAGACCCTTGTATGCTAATTTGAAGAAGTGAGGCTTGTGCTGCTGAAACTCTGCTAAATGCATTCTTTGATGCGGAGATAAACTGAGTTTTACAAAGAAGGATGCATGACCAGCTCATAAGTCTAGAGCAGCCAACATGAGACTGAACCTTCAACTGTTTATCCATGGCTTGCACAAGAGCTGCTGCAAATGTTTTCATAAATACAACCTCACTTAAAGATTTTATGATTAAATCATCCACGGCTTTCCTTGACCCTCGGTCATCATAGATATACAATGTCATGAATATTAAATCCACCAGTTGTGATGCTGAATCTGATGACATCTCTGCGTATTGAAATTGAGTAAATGTTTAGACAAATAGAGAAACAAACAGTTAAAGATGGCAATAATTGTGGCAAAAGGCACAAACAGGGCACAACTTTGCTCGAAAGTAACATTAACAAAAAAAAAAAAAAAAAAAAAAAAAAAAAACGGACATTTACATTTCCTAAATTCAAGTTGCATACGAAGATAATACCTTCCTAGATTATCACCAAATAAGAAGATAACAATATAACATCTCAAATGAAAATCAAGGAACCATATATGTCCAAGTTAAAGTAGAATTAGCATGCAATGACCTGAATTAAGTAAGATAGAAGGAATCTCGTTGCGAAAGATCCGAATCCGCTTCTTTGTAGATGAAGTCGGGATTGAAGATGCAAGTGAAACCCACGGCTCCATTGAACTCGACAATCAAATAACTGATCCTTTTCAATCCAATATAATTTTGAAGATGATCCAGCTTACAAACGTCAGTGAAATGTTCTAAGATCTTTGCTTTATCGATATGGATTTAGAGATGTAAGTTAGGTTGGGGTGATAGTGTGTTGTATGGACTATGGCGGATGGTTTGTTGTTTTAGGGTTTTAGGAAGCCAATTACGAGAGTGAGCAAAACCAAACGCACTGTTGTGCCCCAGCCTCATGCGCCTCAATTCTCTTTTTCTTTTCTTTTTTTCTTTTCTTTTTTTTATATAATTAGGGTATTTGACGTCAAAACATTATAAAGTCTTTTGGCTTAATTGGTCCCTCGTTAACTTTTTTGTTCTTTTATAAGAAAAAACTTCTTAAAAAGGGGAAATAGAAGGTTTAGTCTAAAGGGTTTGGTAGTTTTTTTTATAAATGGTAAAAGGTTGTCATATGGGCGTCAAATAAGTTTTTACAATTTTTGTCAAATAAGTTTTTACAATTTTTGTCATATTTTGCCTATGAATGGAATGTGGTGGTTTATTTACCAATGGTGTATATAATGGTATTTATATTAAAACTAAAAAAAGAAAAAAGAAAAGAAAATTGCAATGACCAATAGAAATAAGAAAAGGTTTACCATTGAGATTTGTCATAAGTGGAAGTTCACCTATGAGATTTACCATTGGCAAAAAAAATGTTAGGATGTGGTGTTCACTACATGTAAAAGTGTCACATAGGCTTTTACTATTGGTAAAAGTCTCCCATATCGTATACCTTGTACCTGATTTCATTGTTTCAAGATAGGTCAACAATTTAGATAGATATCAATTGGATTAATGAGGCCACATAAATACGCATATGTCCGATGTCTTAACCCTCACAATATTAAACACATACACCAAGGATTTGAGCAACTCACTCTTGAAATATCATTCCCCTTTTACGAACTTCTTCTCTAAATAAAATGGCATTGTTATCTTTTTTATCCGACCATTTGCAATTGTGTCTAGTGACGAGAGTCCCCCGCCTTGCTTATGTCCTACACAACCTCCTACAAAACAACGTGAATCATTGAATGCTATTAAATCTCTCCATGTGTTTTTCAACTGCGCAAAGTATAAGGTAAGCTCCAACTCGACTCGAAGCTACTACATCAAGTCATTAACTAAAACCCTACTTTTGAATGCTATTAAATCTCTCCATGCTATTAAACGCTAGTCAGTATATCATCCTCACTGAACCTAACCAACTGTTGATTTGGGAGATGCACCTGCAAAGCCATCACACAAGGGTATATCTGAGAAAGGGAAAAGCTAAAAATCCTCCATATTGCCTCAGGAGGTGAGACATATCGTGCATCCTGATACCGTTTTATCTCATTGATAACAACTGGTTGTCCATCCGGATCAATATTGATAACTTGTTTGTCATGACCCTTGTAAATATACTTAAACACATATTTCATAGAGGTTATACTCGAGCAGACCTCAACATTCATATGGCAGTTAAACATCATTAACAACTTTGGGTTATACGGGACAACCCATCTGTTATCCATCTTATTGCCTCGTATGTCCACCTCTATACCATTATCTCTTCTTCGATACACAGGATATGAGTCCTTTCCTTGTAACGTTGTTTCATTGAATTGTCGAGGGTATCTAAAACGACATTTCTTTTGCTCATTATTCATACAAGGACAATCAGAGTTTAAGCTACCGCAAGGACCATGTATCATGTGTGAGACAACCAATTCGTGCATTTTAGGATACCTTATTGGGTCTGGAATTTCAGCACATACTATTTTGTCGTAATGGTCTGCATTAGTAAGCTTGTATGGAGGCATCATTATCAAGAGGAAATGCACATGCGGCAAACCACGCTTTTGAAACTCAATGACATAAACGTACGAACCCACTACACCAAGTACATGCTTAGTGAAGAGTTGTTTCTTAAGATCCTCTAACTTAGCACGAAAAACTCTTGACACAAGGCTTGGTCGATCTTGGGCCGTCTGCCAAGGTAGTAACTCATTTTTTATTTCTGGCCAATTTGGATTGCATGTCATTGTAAGAAATATGTCAGGCTTCCCGTCATCTTGAACTAAAGTCATGGCGTCAAGAAATCGTCGCCGCATGTCACGGGGGCCTCCGATGAAACTTGCAGGCAACACGACACGTTGCCCTATCATAGTCGGTCGAACCTCACTGGCATTAACACAATCCACAACACCTTGGTATAAATCTGCTCTTATTTTGGACTGGTTTTTTCTACAAAAATCCAAACGTGAAGTCTCAAGCTTGATGTAGATATCTACTATAAACTGTTGTAGCAATCTCCCTCCCAACAAAATTACATTATAATTTGGCCGAATTTGAAACTTATAGCAGTAGTACTCTCGCATAGATACAGTATTCCGCCCTTTTTTTGTATTAGAGTCTACACAATGTTGATGTCGTGAAAAAAAATTAAGAATTAATGTTGTGTACAAAATGTAATGTTTGTTAAGTTAACTAAAATTTTAAAAGTTATGATATGTGTACCTTCTAAATCATCCCCGATGTCTTCGTCGTCATTAATAATATCATTGATGGAAAATCCATGTCTTGGGATTTTTGAATGCCATCCAGACTCACCGTTAGGAAAAAAATAAAGGATAACACAATGGATCATAACATCCCCAATAAGATTGAATTGTTTGCGGTTTCTCGGATTTTCCATAAACGATAATACTTCGTTTATATGCGGCTATGTTGTCGTTACCTTCAACCCAAATACCAGCGACCTGAGGTTTTTATGATACGAACGACATGATTAAATATGGTGTGTAATATGCACTGTTGTATTTCATACGTGGTATATTTATTTTATAATTAGTAGAAAATAATTATTATGGTACCTCAGATGTGGTTGGTCGGTTGTATACCCTTTGATCAAGTTCTACCGATGCATTTAAAGTGTCTATGTAATTGTCAAGCGGCCCTAGATCAACAAGTCTTCGAAATGTCTTCACATATGGGTTTGTAGCAAGAACACGAATCAACTTTCCAGCAATTTCTTTATCAATATTCTACCTTTGGAGTCTATGTGACATCTCATAATCAGCATCGTAAAAATACAACTGTAAGTACCGAGGTATTCCATCTCTTGGAATTAACTGATCGATTCTATGATATATTCCTCCATTCACACAAAAGGTGTATACTCCAGATGTCATATTTGTCAATGTTTTGTCACAATCAACGCCCATTGATGCGAAAGAAAAGTTGATGTTGTAGCAACATATCATTTGTCTAAATGTCCTACCTAATTCGTTTCTGGATGTGAAGAGGTTGAGTAATTCTTCAGGAATAGAGGAATGTGATAACTTTGTCTTACCATCCATGCAACAAAAGGTAGGGAATTCAAACTGAAATCGTTTTGCTCCACAATGAACACATGGTTGTTGTACCTTCAAAACACGATGTTCTTTAGGGATACCATTATAAACAAAGCTATATGGATCCTGATGACTAATTTCAATAGGTGTTGTCGGTGAGTTTCGTTCCTTGCGTCGTTGATATGCATTTCTGTTCTTAATCGATTTCCTTTGAGCAAAATCCAATACACTTGTAGGAGTTACATTAGTAATATCAGCCAGGGTCCTCTGTGCTGTAGACACATTTGTCATAGGTGTCATGTTTTGACTACTTACTCCTCCATTAGCTGTTTGTCTCATTTTCTTCTTCTCCTTTAGTCGTTCATAATATGTCTTATTATATAATTTTCTTTTTTCTGCAATAATTTTTTTGGATGAATTATGCATAAAGATAACGTATTAATCATGTTGCACATATGAAACATACCCTTTTGTGCATTTACATCAAGTTGGATAGCCTCATTAGGCCTATTTTCCTTATCTACAATCACCATGCCAACTGTAAAAACATGAAATTAATAATATAGAATTTTATTTTTTTATAACACGTTGTAATAAAAAATAATTTTTATATACAATACTTATAACCGTATTAATTGAACACTGATTGAGTTGAACTAATTATTTATATGTGAGATTGATACTTACATTAAATTATACTGCTTTTTTTTTAATACTTGAAGTAATGTTTTAACAATTTGTGTTTTTTGTTAATATATATTTATTTCAAGTTTCATTAGTTTTTTTCGGTAAATATTTCTTTCATGTTTTAATAGTTTTTTTCAATAATTGAAAGAATGCATATTGATTGATTTATATTTAAATGATATTTGTAATTTTTATTTGGTAGATTATTTGTTTTACTTATTATACAACTGTATAAATTATCTCATAAACAGAAAGAAGAAAACTAAATAACATAAACAAAATAGTCAGACAAAGAAACTAAAATTTATAAACTTAAAAGTTTTAAATCATTATAAAATACTAAAAATCCATGTCACAAATTCAGCAAAAAATAAATATAAAAAGTACGCAAGCAAACAACCTTCTAAAAATCCGCAAACACATAACTACCACATAATCCGCAAACAAATAACTACTACATAATCCGCTAACAAATAACTATAGAAAAATTAATTATTCTCTCTATCTCTAATCCTAATTCGCTCAGCTTCCGGTGTCCTTGGATCCAACGTGACATCAGTTAATATAGTAGAAACCAAAAATATTGTTTGTATGGACATGTAATATATAGTTAGTAAGGTATATTAAAATAAATAATATGTAAAGAATGAAACTATATATAATGTTGCCCACGGTTAACTTACACAAATTTAAGTGGACCAACTTGACCCTAGAGACATAAATTATGAATTGATTGAATATTGCAAGATACAATGGTATCATAAGGCTCATCGGTACGTGATTGAACATCAACTTGATAATATGTCACCTATTCATTTAAACAAAATGTTGTTAAAACACATAATAACAATGAGAATTGGTTAATATATTTAAATATACTTACATCTCATTTTGGAGAAATAGTTCAAATGCATAGAATGGCTTGATTCGTCTTCCCCAAACGATTTTTCCAATAACATCTAAAGCATATTAAAATTACTATAAATTTAATTTGTTGTATGCAATTGATAAAAACAAAATATATATAATTAAATATATAAATATACCGATCATCATTCTTCAACGACTAAAATCTCTTGCGAGGCTTGTGATAGAAGAACATAATGGATAATGTGGAAATGAATTGGCGAGTAAATATTGTGTTAATTTTTATTAGTATTGCCCAATCACCAAAAAAAAT